AAAAAAAAAAAAAAATCAATCATCAAGATCACCGGCCTTTCACTAGTCGAAAAATGCAACTTACCTCTGTGGCTAGCCAAAGGTTGGTAGAGGAGAGATGTTTTGTAGTGAAAAGGATAAAAATGAGAGAAAAAAAATAGAGGAAAAGCGTAGAAGAAATCTGTAGGGGGGGACGGGCATAGCGAGGAAGAAGAAAAGGCTGCATGCAACAGTGAATACTTATCTGGACCGATATCGGTCCGGATAAAACTGAACATTGGGCCCCAGTGTCAAATCAAAGCAGAGATTCGCTGGGATCATTTTACGAACCAATATCGGTCCAAAAATATTTGAAATAGTCGGACCGAAATCGGTCCGAATACTCAAAACGTGTCACAATTGATTTTAATCCGTTGAAGACTATATACGGATCAACTTCGGTCCGTATAACTTATTTATATAGTATTTTATTCTTAAATTTTTTTATTTAATAATTATTTTTTTAAGAAAACATATTCAGACCATTTTCGGTCTGTATAATATTAGCTTGCTTCAATTGGTTTTTGACGCTAATAATATACGGACTGTAGTCAGTTGGAATATATTGATTAATGGATTTTATACACCTCAATATATTCGGACAATTTTTGGTCCGAATATAAATTTATACCGACCGACTATAATCATTCCGTATATGTTCTGTCTGAGTTGCTGATTTTTCTAGTAGCGGCCACGCACTAAAAATGTATCATGTTAGTGGAATTCCTTTTTAAAGTTGAAATGTATTTGTTGGAAAATGCTCAGACAGGAGACCATTCATTGGACCAATAAATGTCGAAAGTTGAAATGACTATCTACTCATCGATCCTCACCAACCTCTCTCTTAAACCCAGCATTTTAACAACAATATATATACCATATAGAGGGTTGATGGACGTAAACTTGTGATCCATTAACAGCAACTCATCCCTCATTTTATATATATACAAACATTTTGGGTATTTGGGTGTCATAAAACATGGATGATTTCAAAGCAGAGAAAATAGAGAGCCAAAGTGAGGTCCCGATGGCTGAGGCGGCCAGGAAAGGCACCACCTTCCTCAAAACTTGTTTCAATGGACTCAATGCCTTGTCAGGTCCTCTCTTTCCTTCCCTTGCTCTGTTAATTGTTGTATTATATTTTTACTTGAATGACAAGGAACAGTCAGGTTCTAGATATCATTAGATTATCTTCTAGACTTTTTATTTTTATTTTTTATTTTTAAGACATCAGATGATGAGTTTTATAACAAGATATAGTTTTTCTTTCTCATATTTCCTCCATCTATCTCAAGATTTGAATCTTTTAACTAGATGCATATTTGCCATATCCTTTTCCATGTCGTCATATGACTTGAAAATGTTCAAATCAGCTGGTCCAAAAAAAAAAGGAAAAAGTGAACATGTTCGAGGTCATAATTACTTAAGTTGCTACATAAAATTTTTCCATTTCATCGGCCAATTTAATTAAATGAGCCAAAATTGTGGATAATGTTATAGTAATTGTTGTACATCTGCATTTGAAAAGACCAACTAGTGACAAATTAATTGATAAGACAGTAAAAATAATTTGTGTCATTTTTAATATAAGAGATGGGTTATAAAAGATGACTTAAATTAATGAATCTTTATATCTTTATATTTAAAATAATACTATGCAATCTTAATTACATAATTTAAACTATTTGATTGAGAGCAAATCCTTTAATATTAGAGATTCTCATCTAATAGTTTTTTTTATTCTTAAATGGGAAAGATTAATATTTTATTTAAAATTAAAAAGTACAAGAGGTATTCTAAATCTGTTACACACACCTATACCCTTCTCCTATCCAGTAGTTTTTGTTTTCCATTTCGAGCTTCAAAATATGAAATTTAGATATATTTGCTTTATTCTTATCACATCAAACTGGAATGTGACAACCACACACTCACAGGTGACATTTCATTAATTCAACTTGAACTTCGTAGAGGGACAAGCATATATGGCTGAATTCAAGATATGTTTTCTGTCTTTTCAGGTGTTGGAATACTCTCAATCCCATATGCACTATCCCAAGGAGGATGGTTGAGCCTAATCGTTTTGTTTCTAGTAGCCATCCTCTGTTGGTACACAGGACTTCTTCTCCGACGTTGTATGGATTCAAGCATGCGCATCAAAACTTATCCTGACATAAGTGAGCTTGCTTTTGGGTACAGAGGAAGAGCAATAGTATCGATCTTCTTGTATCTCGAGCTTTATTTGGTTGCAGTTGAGTTTCTAATACTTGAAGGTGATAATCTTCATAAATTGTTTCCCAACATGGAGTTCAAAATTGCTGGGTTGAAAATTGGAGGAAAGCAAGGCTTTGTTCTGTTGACTTCCCTGGTAGTTCTGCCATCAACATGGCTGAAGAGTTTGGGAATTATGGCTTATTTTTCAGCAGGTGGGGTTCTAGCTTCGATTGTTCTTGTTGTTTGTGTGTTGTGGGTTGGAGCAGTTGATGGAGTAGGTTTCCATGAAGGAGATATGTTTTTAAATTGGAGAGGAGTGCCCACTACGATAAGCATGTTTGCATTTTGTTATTGCGGGCATGCAGTTTTCCCCACCCTCTGCAACTCCATGAAGGATAGAAGCAAGTTCTCCAAGGTAAAAACCTCTATGTAATACTGTTTTTCTGTCTAAAAGGCAATATATATATATATATATATAATCAAAACGGACAAAAGTATCAGATCAAAGTAGAAATGTCTTAAACGCCATTTCCTCTATGGATTTTATTATTTTTAATAGTCCTCTTATTTTGTGGTGTGGACTGTATTAAATTATAAAATAAAAAGAGAGGAGCTTCGACATCAAAAAACTTACCACTATCTAATAATAAATATTATGTAATCTGGTACAACACTTTTTCCTTTTAAATATAAGTTTATCTCATTATTTTCTTGTTTATTTGTGTTTCCTATCAGGTTTTGCATGTTTGCTTCATCACAAGCACAATAATCTACGCATCAATGGCTGTTATTGGCTACCGAATGTATGGAGAACATTTAAACGCTCAAGTCACCCTAAATCTTCCAGTTAGAAAAACTTCTACAAAAATAGCAATTTGTACCACACTAATCAATCCCCTTACAAAGTATGCTATCATATTGACTCCATTAGCTACTGCCATTGAAGAAACAACATATCTTCGCAACAGCAGGACTCTTAGCATCCTCATAAGGACAGCACTTGTCGGAAGTACAGTAGTTGTAGCCTTAACCATTCCATTTTTCGGCTACATAATGGCCTTTATTGGAGCATCTGTCGATGTCACTGGATCTATGTTGATGCCATGCCTTTGCTACCTAAAGATTAACAAAGATAGTAGAAGTTTTGGGTTGGAGTAGATAATAATTGTTGTTATCTTGGTGGGTGGCTCGTTTATAGGCATGGTGGGTACCTATACATCTTTCAAACAAATTGTAAACCATCTCTGAAAAGTCAAGATGGTGCAATGACCTTGGTAAAATCAACACATGCTATCAAGGTTGTTAACATTAAGATTTTACCTAAAGTCGAAAGGAGGAGATGAGATCGCAAATCATAAGACCATAAATAAGATTGTGAGATCCTAACAAATTAAATTTGTGTATTTATATATAATTAATAAAAATAAATATAAACTATATAAATATCTTAAAATAAATTGTTAAGGTTGTTTATTGATGAAATAAATCTAAAATAAAATATTTAAAAGTTCAAATACAAAGTATTTAATAATTCATAATATAATTTAATACTTAAGCTTGCAAATCAAATAAAAAAGATAACAAAAATATAAATAGTTGTTATTATTAACATGAAGATAAAAATAAATTCAAAGAAATGAAAAAAATTAAAAA